AGTGGTCCTTTAAGTGGCACTTGCACTCGACTATACTTACTATGTCTAGCTAACCTTACTTCACACATAGCCTGTTTATGTATCACACCTCTCTTTTGCAATTAAGTTAGACACTTTTCCCTGCACACTGTGCATGGTTACTTTATGTGCCATGCAAATGTTTTACTTTGTATGCTATCGAAAATGCTTGCTACTGTTTTGTGGCTCTGCGAGCCTCTTTGTACTACTTTGAATGTAAAAAAATATTTATATTGTACAAGAATTATGCATAATGTGCATAAATAAGTAAAATACAGGACCTACCCATTTTATGTTCCAAACTTTTACTATTCACCCGAGCTGTGCTTGATTTTGAAACAGATTCCAATAACAATGTAATAATTAACTTTTAGAAGTTTGAGTGGTGAGTTACTGTAATTCATTTTTTTAATAATTTTTTAATAAAAAAAAAATGACAGATCAAATTTATAAAACAAAAATCTTTAATACTAGCTCAAACTATTCAAGTATGGGAGTAAATAAAAAAATGTTTGGGTTTAAGACAAAAAATCCCAAAGATATGCCGATTGATTTCCTTGGAAGATAATATGGAGGATTTATCACTAAAAAAGTGACTCTGGCAGATATTGCTCAGGAAGATAAAATAGAAGCATTTGGTGACATTATTTTAAAATATCAAATCTCAAATAAAGAAATATTTACATTCTTAAGCATATACATATTTATTTAAACGTAGCATTACATGTGGAAGAGATATTCTCTTACAAGAAAGTAAAAAACAACAACCTCTAAAGCCAACCAGATGATTGATTTACTAAATGACAAACCATTAAAAATAATAAATACTTGGAATAAAGATCTAGCCCTGGGAATATTGGCATCAGATTATTGTTATAAGAACATTCATTGTTTAAATTTGATAGAACGCCAGTTTAAGATAATGTATAAATGGTATCTAGTTCCAACTAGATTGTATAAGATGCAAACTGACTATACTCCAAATTGTTGGAGATGTAGTAATCCTTTATTCATATGTGGGGGGTCATGTCTTTTGGTTAAACCATTATGGAAATGGGCATATAATAGTTTTATTATTATTATTGCCATTTACATAGCGCCAACAGATTCCGTAGCGCTTTACAATATTTTGAGAGAGGGGATGTAACAATAAATAGGACTATTACAAGAAAACTTACAGGAACAATAGGTTGAAGAGGACCCTGCTCAAACGAGCTTACAGACTATAGGAGGTGGGGTCAGTGCCAGATTAAGAGCCCAGTGGGCCTGGTGCTGACAATTATGACGGGCCTAATTACAGAATCATATCGACCAAAAACAGTAAAACACTCCCAAGCGTCATGTATCTGCTGGAGATGGTGCTGGAGAGAAAGAAAACAGCAGCTATAAGAAAACACATACCCTAGGCTAATCTCTCACTAATTTATATTTTCATCTTTCAAGTAAATCCATAACCCCTAACAGCAGTGTCCAGTCAAGCAGGAAGTCAATGGACAGGGTAAAAGGGTGTGCCACTGACACAAATCACGTAACCTGCCAAAAGGGGCGAACATGCCCAAAAAGAGGATATGTCTGCCCAAAGAATTAGAAGGCCAGCCTGGTATGAATGCATGTCAGGCTGCCTGCCAATCATGCAGCTGGCCAACTAAGGGCATACCATGCAGACAGCACCCTGAGCTTGGCATAAATGCATCTAATGATGCGCTCGCTCAATGTTTTCGAAGGACTGTCCCCTAGCACTCGCTGGTCCACTTGTCTCCTTAGTGGCAGAAGCTCCTGGTATATAGTCTGGGACAGAGAAAAGCTGTATGCAGTGAGTGTAGAAGAAAGGGAACATGCCACAGTGTTAGAGAGACCAAAGTCAGCATTACCTTAAAGGATCACAACAGGGTCAGGAACACAAACATGAATTCATGACCCTATAGTGTTAACACCACCATCTAGCCCCCCTGGGCCCCTCATGCCTCCATAAATATAGCAAAATCTTACTGTATTCAAGCCTGAAGCTGTAACTCTGCATGCTGTTAGACTCAGAAAAATAAGCAGTCTGCTGACATCATTAGAAGTGGTGGCCTAATCCAATCACAATGCTTCCCCATAGGATTGGCTGGGACTGACAAAGAGGCAGATCAGGGGCAGAGCCAGCATGATTCAAACACAGCCCTGGCCAATCAGCATCTCCTCATATAGATGAATTGAATCAATGAATCTCTATGAGGAAAGTTCAGTGTCTGCATGCAGAGGAAGGAGACACTGAATGTTTGGATGCATTTTAGGCAGCCATGACCCAGGAAGGATCTCTAACAGCCATCTAAGGAGTGGCCAGTGAAGTTATCACTAGGCTGTAATGTAAAGACTGCATTTTCTCTGAAAAGACAGTGTTTACAGCAAAAAGCCTGACGGTAATGATTCTACTCACCAGAACAAATTCAATAAGCTGTAGTTGTTCTGGTGACTCTAGTGTCCCTTTAACTATATTCATTGTCAGCCAGTCCACACAAGTTTTGTTCCCATACATCCCTCTTAAGTTTCCATACTTAAGTAAGAGTATGTGAAAAGTAGTTAGGGTTGCCACCTTTTTTTAATTTGCATAATTAAATATGTATGGGTGACATCACATGATGTAAATCACAAGGAGTGACATAAGAGAAAATGCTGTAAAATCACCAAAAAACTACTTAGTTTGATTCTGCTGTATAGATGGATTCCTCCCAGTGGCCCCATGTCTCCCAGTGCCCCATGTGTCGATTACTCCAGGTCTCAGTGTTCCTATGTATCAGTGTCTCAGTGCCCCATGTCTCCCAGTGTCCCCTAGTGTCGTGTCCCCAGGTCTCCCAGTGATCCTATGTATCACAGTGTCTCAATCCCCCATGTCTCCCTGTGTCCCCATGTATCCCAGGGTCCCCATGTCACTAGGAAGACAGGAAGACCTGGGGACATGGGAAGACCTAGGGACATGGAGACACCAGTGACACTGGGAGACTAGGGGACTCTGGCTGGGATGCATGGGGACACTAGGAAAATAGAGGACACTTGAAGACATGGGGACACAGACACCATGGACACAGACACTAGAGACACTGGCTGGGGACCTGGGGACATTGAGACATGGGGGACTGGGAGACATGGGGACAAGGAGACACCAGGGCCACAGACACTAGGGACACTAGCTTGGAGACATGGGGACATTGAGACAATTGAGGCACTGGGAGACATGGAGGCACTAGGAGACATGGGGACAGTGAGACACTGGCAGACTGGGGGCACTGGGAGACTAGGGGGCACTGAGACACCAGGGACACTGGCTGGGAGACATGGGGACACTGTGTCCCCATGTGTCTGTGTCATAATGTCTCCCAATGTCCCTTAGTGTCTCAGTGTATGTCTCCTTGCAGCCTTTCCCCCCATCCCTTACTTCCCTGAGCTGTAGGCTGTCTCTGCAGGGTGGGAGCTGCTGTCTGGACTCTCTGTAGCTGCACCCCTGCAGATCAGTGAGTATAGATAGACAGGGAGGGATATGCTGTAACTTCCTATCCCTGCCTGTCTCCACACACAGTGACCCCTACTGGCCAGTGCTGGAATTGCATAGTAATCTAAAAATACCAGCGTTTGTAATGCCAGTATCACTGCAATATTGGCACCAGCCAGGCAGCCTCAAATACTGGCTGTGCCAATAAAATAAAAGCCAGGTGGAATCCCTAAGAGTAGTGTGTGGGGGAAAAAAAATGTAAAAAAAAACAAATTTTTTTTTTTTTTTTATAAATCAATGGGCCTATTCCATGGGCCTGGGCCTGGAGCTGCAGCTCCATCAGCCCCTATGTTAATCCGGCCCTGGGTTGGGTATTAGAAACATTAGGACAGGAAATATCAAGTAGGAGTGAAGCAGAGCTGGAGGAAAGAGCAAAGCACTGTCCCAGAGGAGAGAGCAGGAGACAGGTATGTAAGGTAGAGATTACTCTGGGAGGCCATAAGCTTTCCTGAAGAGATGGGTTTTAAGGCCCTTCTTAAATGATTGAAGACTAGGGGAGAGTCTGATGGCAGTAGGCAAGCTATTGCATAGGAGAGGAGCCGCCCGCGAGAGATCCTGCAAGCGCGAGTTGGCCGAGTTTTAGAGTTTTATCCAGTAGAAATTTGAAATGGGGACCCAAAATAGCACTACTCCATGTGAATTTAACAACATTTAATCTTAAATGTCTGGCAATCCATTGTCTTTTAGCTTTTTACTTGGTCAGTGATGAGGAAGCGCCTCTGTGGCTGTCAGCAGAGGCGGCTCTCTAATTAGGCCCGTAACGCGGCCGCCTAAGGCCTTGCGCGGATTGGGGCCTTGCGGTCACCTAAATCGACTTCGGCAAGAGTGACATGTTCATTCTTCAGTCTCTGACCCAAGACCCGACACGGGAGGGGCCCCAGCGGCTTGCTCTTTGTGCCGCTGGGTGCGATGCCTCTCCGATGTCCGTCAGCCCCACTACCCTCTCCCAGCCCCCACTACTATTTCTCAGCCCCCCACCCTCTCTTAGCCCCCACTACCTTCTCACAGATCCCCCTACCCTCTCTCATCCCCCTACTGTCTCTCAGCCCCCCTACCCTCTCACAGCCCCCCACCCTCTCTCATCCCCCTACTGTCTCTCTGTGTTTATGGGGGCTGCCTGTGGCCTTTGTGCATTGTGTTATGGCACAGCTATGTTTCATGACTAAGAGTGAGTGTGTATGTGTGTGTGTGTGTGTATGATAAATGTCTTCAGTTGGTAAGTGTGACGGGGGAGTTTGACATGGTGAGGGCGTAAATTAAAGAATTGGGTAGGCATGTGTGACATAACAAAGGTGGTTGAGAATGATAGGGCAGTTGTGACATGGCTGAAGGAGGAAGTGTGACAGGAATGGATGAGGTTAATGTGACAGGGTGCGTGTGTGGGGGGAGTGACAGGGTGTGTGGGGGGGTATGGGGGCTGTGAGAGGGTTGGAGGGCCGTGAGAGGGTAGGGTGGCTGTGAGTGGGTAGGGGGGCCATGAGAGGGTAGGGGGCTGAGAGAGGCCTCTCACAGCCCCCCCACCCTCTCATGGCCCCCCTACCCACTCACAGCCACCCTACCCTCTCACAGCCCCCCTACCCACTCACAGCCACCTTACCCTCTCACAGCCCCCAGCCCCTCTCACAGCAACCATGCCTTGTCACAGCCCCTGTAACCCTCTCACAGCCCCCTACCCTGTCACAGCTCTCCACCCTCTCAAAGACCCTCTCACATCACCCAGCCCTGTCACTGCCCCCCACCCTCTCACAGCCACCCTACCCTGTCACAGCCCCCACCACACCCTGTCATCTCACACCCCACATACACCCTGTCACAGCCCCCCACACACACCCTCACAGCCACTCCAACCCTGTCACCCCACTAGCACACTGTCACAGCCCCCCACACCCTGTCACAGCCACCCACACCCTGTCTCCCCTGTCACAGCCACTCCCACACACCCTGTCACCCCACATACACCCTGTCACAGCCCCCCACACCTTGCCCTTACACACACCCTCACAGCCACCCCCACATTGTCACCCTGTTACAGCCCCCCACACAACTTGTCAAAGCCACCCCAGCCTGTAACAGCCCTTCCCACATACCATCAAAGCCACCCACCCTGTCACCCCACTGCCCCCTGTCACTCCCCCCACACACGCACCCTGTCACATTAACCTCCTCCATTCCTGTCATACTTCCTCCTCCAGCCATGTCACAACGGCCCTATCATTCTCACCCTCCTTCATTCTGTCACACACGTGTTCCCAATTCTTTAATTTACCCCCCTCACCATGTCAAACTCACCCTGTCACACTCACCAACTGAAGACATTTATCATCATACACACACACTCTTAGTCATGAAAAGTAGCTGTGCACATAACACACCATCACAACCCTCTCTTAGTCCCCTTACCGTCTCTTAGCCCCCGCCTACCCTCTCTCAGCCGCCCCTACCACCCTCTCTCAGCAACCCCAATAAACACAACACACCGCAAGCAGCTGCCCCACACACATAGTTCACAGGCACATGTTCACAAAGACAATGATTCATACACAAGGATACTCTCTGTCAGACACACACTTTAATGCACATACACAGGTAGACAATGCCAGACACACTCAGAAATACACACACCTACACTTATGTATACCCGACTGCAAGGTTATGTAACCATACCCCGCAATCGTGTATAAACGATTAGCATAATTGCTAATTAAATTTGTTTATTGCAAATTAATTTAGTTTGCTAATCATGCCATAATCAGTCAGAGAGCTCACAACGCAGTGGCACATGGAACCACGATACTGTAAGCCTCTGGACAATGAATACAGAGACTAGCTCTCTGTATCCACCGCTGCAAGCCCATTTTTCAATATAACTACAGTACCTTATACACACAATGAACCCCTATTTATTTTCACTTTGGGTATTAGTGTGGGCCTCGTGTTTGTGTGTCACCTAAGGCCTTGCAAAGTCTAGAGCCGCCACTGGCTGTCAGTATGATATAACCCTGCAATGTTAATACTGCAGTTCTTTGCACCAGAACCACTACATTAAAGAGGACCCATCACCCACCCAAACCACTCATGCTCTTTGGCAAGAGCTATATAGTGTCATGAATACATTGTGCTAGGAGTTTTGCTAGCAAATGTATAGATGGAGAGAAAAATCTATCTCAAAATAGGTCATTCTCCCACTTCTCAGTCAAATCTTCAACATAGACTCTATGCCGACCATTTGACTGACAAGCAAGAACAGGAAAGACCTCCCATAGGCGATCCTCTGCTCTCCCAAACATAGCAACATCCTGCGGTTGCTATGGAAACTCCCTAACCGGTGATGCTAGCCCGCATGTTGGCAACAAAACCAGAATGTTGGCACCACTGTGTGTGTGTGTGAAGGGTGCTGTGTGGGAGAGGGGTGCTATATGTGTTAGGGGTGCTGTGTGTGTGAGAGGGGTGCCATACATGTGAGGGGTGCTGTGTGTGTGAGAGGGGTGCTGTGTTTGTGTGTAAGGGATGCTATATGTGTGAGGGGTGCTGTGTGCGTGAGAGAGGTGCTGTGTGTGTGAGAGGAGTGCTGTGTGTGTGTGAGAGGGGTGCTGTGTGTGTGTGTGAGAGGGTTGCTGTGTGTGTGTGTGTTTGTGTGTGTGTGTGTAAGGAGCTGTGTGTGAGAGGGGTGCCGTGTGTGTGTGTGTGTGTGTGTGTGTGTGTGTGTGTGTGGGGTGCTGTGTGTTTGAGAGAGGTGCTGTGTGTGGGGGTGCTGTGTGAGAGTGTGAGGGGTGCTGTGGGTGTGAGAGGGGTGCTGTGTGTGAGTGTGGGGGGTGCTGTGTGAAGGGTGCTCTGTGTGGGGGCAGGGTGCATAGGGAAGAGGGATTTTTTTGTTGGTTGTTTTTATTTAATATTATTATTTTTTTTAAAGCTTCATGCCCCCCTCAGTGCCCCCACCCTTCTTCTTACCTTTGGTGGGAGGAGGGGGACACTGCCAACCCTGGTGGTCCAGTGGTGAGTAATGATCTAAAGCCTCCAGCTCCTCTGGTTACATGCTATATTTCTGGGTATTATATACTGTCTGAAGGTAATCACTACTACCCTTTAACAGGGATATACTGTACCAAGTGTACAATTACTGATGTGGGTGTCCTCTGGATTTTCATGGCAAACCCCCTGGGGTGAACCCCCAGTTAATCATATAATTCCCATATTGTGCCAAGTATATTATCTACTGACATGGGTGTCCTCTGGGTTATCAAGGCACACCACCTGGGGTGAGCCCCCAGCTAAACACATACTGATGTGATTGAGATCCTACTGGGATAAGTCCCCATATGATGCAGGACTATCAGTGCTTGTTACTTGCATTGCATTCAGATCGTATCATGAGGTACAACTCTCGTGTACACCTGTGGTGAACCCCATTTCCTACACCTGGAGGATCAAATGATTTGCCTCAGACATCTTCTAAGTATGTCAGAGAAACAGTATTGAAGGATGAAGGTCTCCTCAAGGACACCCTGAGCCGCCTGGTGCCCATGGTGCCTGAAGACAGACCCTTTCTAGATGAGCACTATTCGACCATCACATTAGTCAACATCCGAGGTCATTGGAATAGAGCCTCCAAGATCATCTGGCTTGGTTCATACATTACTGGCTCCGTAAACCCATGGAGAAAGAGGTTCGGGGCATGCCTCAGAGCCGAAAGCCCATGACCACTATTGCCTGACAAAGTGGCCATTACACCGGAGTTTGACACCACTGTAGTGGTCTTTAGGTCTCGGTCAGGCTGGGACCCACGGAAAAGCATTTAAAAGGGTCTGTCAGTATATTTCTACTGACAGACATTTTTGTGTTAAGAAAGAAATTAAAAGTGTATACTGTAAGTCACCATCAGAACAGAAGTGTTTCCATTTTGTATCACAATGCAAGGACAGACACATTTTTACTTCTCTGTAACTCTATTCATTCAAGCCTGAGCTAAGGAATGCGACTAATGTAGATAAGACATGATGTTTGCAGCAAGTGGTTGAACGCTACAACTCAGAGACAAATATACATATATATATATATACATATATATATTTATATATACATGCATACACAATATCCACATATAACTTACAACTATTATATTAATCATATATAAGTAGTACTATGTTAATAAGACAGAATATTCATGGATAGAATATCAATGAAGAAATGTCATATTATTAAAATAATATAGTTGAATGTGTAAGAGACATGTATATATCATGTGCTGTGACATTACTTACTATGTAGCCTCACACCAGAAAACCAGACACAGAATGACAGATAACACTAAGTAATTAATTTTACTTTTTTTAAACTAACGGAATCTTACAAAGTTTCATTGTATTAAAAGTGTGAAACTAAGGCTAAGGCGTGTCAAAATCTAATTTATTAGCAAAATTGCAGACACAAGTCTGGTTGAATCCAACCAAAACACTTTGAAGATTGACAGGTCTTTGACAAATAGGTAATCATAAAGATAACCAAGATAACGTCAAACGCATTACCAAATTCAGTTAACCCATTATACAAAAAGGTAAATGGACCCCATGACAAGAATTTTCTGTGATGCAATTGCACCATCTACTGACCAAAATCTAGATGATAGTCTGTAGGGAAGACACGCCCACATTACTCTATTGGTCACTAGCAACTAGTGACTTATAAAGAACTTCTCCTTTAAAAATTAAGGACAAAGGAGAGACACACACTCAAACACTCAGACACTCTGAGTATGGACTCACATCTAACACCTAAGATCTGACATCTGGAGCCAAAGCTGGACCCACCTAACTTTTTGTATCTTTTCCAACTAACACAACATTGCAATTCTTTAAAAATTCAGAACTCTGAAAACTTTTCTAATTGTACACAATTCTTTATACTCTTATCTGCATTCACCATTTCTGGGATATATCTACAAATCTGATAGAAACTCTACAACATGACTGGTAATTATGCTGGTTTTATTTAATTCAATTAAATTAAATTAATTGATTTTACTAAAAGGCAGAATATACTTGGATAAAAGCTGGTGATTCCAACATCAAGGAGTTATGATTCGTTAATAATATATCGAATTCGTAATTCCATTCCTGCAGGTGGACCAATGAACTATATCACTTTTAACTTTAAAAAACTTTAAAAATAGAATACTAGGCAATTATCCAGATATATTAGTTTACGTAATTTAGAAATAGTGAACCTTGGGCCAGGGCCGAACCAGCATGGCGGCTGGATGCATCTCAGAGGAGCTCCTCCACTAATATGCCAAAAAAGGCACTTTACAGCCAACTACTACTCGATCTGAGCCACTCTACTCGATACCTAAGCTACCTGCCTTACCTATAAAGCGAGAAGGAGGCTGGTGACTCGAGGTACCTGTCCTGCTACACCCGTTGGAAAAGCTGCTACACTGGTGGGCGCCGGGCGGGGGAAGCGGTCAATCCCCCGCTTCGAGGAAACCAAGCTGCAGATAAGCATGGACCTGTGCACCATAACCACCTCCCCTTGGACTGGGGGGGTGATCCCGGCCCC